AAAGGTAAAAAAAAAAAAAAACAACAACAAAAAAACTATCTGATGAGAATAAACTGTGCACAGAGAACTACCAATGAGTGATCCTGTCTTTCTGGGTTTGGGGGAGGCTGGCTGGTCTGTGCGAAGGGAAGGCCACCTGGGAGAGCCGCAAACCTGCCTTTTGACTCAGAATAAACACGTTGTTCTTGTGAACAGTGTCCTTGTAAGTCATATGTGTGACAGGGAGACAGATTGGCTTGGTGGCTCGAGGCAGAATTTGGATGTCACAGCTCTGATTAGAGATTTTTTTAGAGCCGTGATTAGGCTGTGAAAATTGTGACCTTTTCCATGTTTCCCAGTACTGATGTTTGTTTTACTGTTCCCAAAAGATAATTATCAAGATAAATAATGAATATGGAAAAATTGTTCAGACTTGGACATGTCTCAAAACGTCTCACTTCTTAGTGTTTTGAACATCATTAAGTGTTGGTAAAGGGCTGACAAGATGGCTCAGAGGGTAAAGCCTATTGCTGCCAAGTCTGAGGATCTGAACTTTGACCCACAGGACACACATCATAGAAGGAAAGAACTGACTCCTGCAAGCTGTCCTCTGACCTCCTCACACATGGCATGGCATGGGTGCTCCAATACAAATATGTGCACATAAATATAATAGAAAAACATAAGTTATAACTCCCTCACAGTGTAAAATAATAGACTTGAAAGAATAAATCCCCTTATTAACTAACTTCAACACTTTAATTTACTTCATTTTTTCTTATGCATTTTTTCTCAAGTGACATGTTCATTCTAAAAAACTTTTTCTCCTAATTTATGAATAACAGTGAGAGCCAACAAGATGGCTTAGCAGAGAAAGGTAATTGTCATCGAACTTGATAACCTGAGTCTCTGAGGCCCACACGGTAAAAAGGGAAAAGCCCAACCCCTCCAAGTTAGCATGTTTACATGCTTCCCATAGCATGTGTGTCTCACACACATGCACACACGATAGATAGACAGATGATAGATAGATAGATAGATAGATAGATAGATAGATAGATAGATAGATAGATGATTGATAGACAGACAGACATACAGACAGATAGATAAGTAGATAAATGTGAAGAAAGAATAGCATACATTATTCGGAAAAAGCATGCCCATAAAGGAAGCCTCTAATTGTGAAATTATTGGTATCACATCCCTAAACATTGTCATTGGTAGGGTATCAAAGAGACCAATAGAGAGAGCTGTTCAAGTTTCTCTAGCTGTCTCACCACAGAAATGAAGCTTAAAGGGGACTATAGCTGCAGGAGCCATGTGTGTGGATAGCCTTCTATAAAGAGATGCTGCTACTGCTAAAGACCGAGATTGTTTACCACTGTCTGAAAAAATACACCTGAAAATAAATGAACATGATATTTGAACCCAGTGTTCAGACAAGTAGGTAGACATGAACAGCAAGTTGGCTGCTCAACTAGGAGTGAGGAGAATAGATTTTGTTTTTGTCTATTTCAGATTCTTATATTCTTTGTGCAAAAAGATGGTAGAGGTGATGAAATCCACAACAGATCTGTCTTGATGGTGTTTAATTTTATGTTTAGCTTCTTACATTGTAAATTAAACATGCAATGTAATGTCATTCTCAGCAAAAGCAAACCTGTCCCATTTTACATGACAACAATGGCTACTTATTAGGAGGAACTCTGGACTGGTTGCAATAGGTGACGAGATAAATTAGTCAAATAGTTTCCCTGTATCCCACAATTTGGTATGTTAAACTGTGTTCTATGTCACCTTCTAAGAGAAAACATGCAAATTCGTAGATACAACTTCTTCTTGCAATAAGACATCCAATAAGACAAAATGAGGACCGTGATTTATCTGAAATAACAGTAGCCCATGGGAGTCAGGGTAACTTCTAATCCCTAATATTTTAGGTCTGTTATTACCTTAGAAGACTCTACTCTTTAAGAAAGATGACTCTAAATAATTCTTCTGTGGCTCATGTCATCCATATAGTTAAAACTACTTTGTGAGCTTCTAGATAGCTGTTTAAAAACATATTTCACAAAATTATTGGCAATTTCTCTCTATTTATGATTGTGGAATCTTACTAGTAACTCATTATACACTAACAAATGATATTAAACACGTGTGGGTACACACATGCTCACACACAGACTCAAGTAGTATGGCAAATTCAAGAATACAATGTATTGGATTTTACTTGATATAAGAATCCCTAAAACAAAACAAAACAAACAAACAACAAAAATCTTCCAAAGAAAATGCTTCTTTTTTTAGTAGTCTTTGTATATACCATTTGATAAATGAACAATTTTCAATATAGAAAGGTTTTAAGTACAGGGGATTGGGTTTTAGTTAGGTAGTAGAGTGCCTGCTTGCTACATACAAGGCACTGGTACCTTTTCAAGAATTCATATCTAAATATAACCTGAATTCTTTTCACTTTGTGTGATCAAACATAGACTTAGAATTATAGAAAAATTATCAGAAGAATTAGAAAAATAATTATAAATGCACATACAAGATACCACAACTTGATGAATTTGTTATATAAATTTAATTAGAATACATTTATTGAGTAAACCACCAAGATATTCTTCCATGCCATATCATTTAAGCTTTACAAATACACTCTCTCCTTAGAGCATGCTAGTATATTATATAGTCATTAAGCATTTTATATGAGAAAACAAGCATTTTTGTCTTTATTTTCTATAGCATATACTAAAATCTATTTAACAAATACATTTCTGAATATAATACAAAGCACACATGCCCACAAATAGAAAAAAGTAGCTTAAAGAAAGAAATTCCTTAGCATGTAAAAACTATGCTTCGAATAATAAAAATCCAAGATAGTGATATTGAGAAAAATACAGAATGTGAAATTAGTAAGACATAAATTATTATGATAATGAAAACACTGAAACCAGTAGAAAATTAGAGAAGCTGATCTATAACATAATTTCCTCACCTAAGGCTCAGGGATATCACAGAAGATGGGGTGGAAAGACTGTAACAGTCAGAGGACCAGGCAAACTGCTGTGAAATTGTGTCTCGTAGAAAGGACAGGGCACCTTCACCAATGATACCTCAGCAATATGGCTGCCTAAACAAGACCAGAAGAAATGCAACATCAGTACTAATAGCATTGCTAACATGGAAGGAGGAAATACCCAGAGACCTATCCCTAGACAGGAAACTACAGACTACTAAGGGATGCTGAAAATGAGAGAAAGAATTCTCTCTAGGGGTGAGCCTTTAGTTGATTATCCAATGCTGATTAGTCAGCCCTGAAATCATATACTATTAAGTAAATGAATTGAGAAGACTATATTCATAATTACACACACACACACACACACACCACACACACACACACACACACACACACACACACACACACACCACACGCCAGTAGCAACTAAAGAATAAGACACCATGATTTTGAGAAGAAGAATGGTGGGGGATGGGCACACAAAGGGAGAGAGAGCGGAAGGGAAGGGGAAATGATGTAATTGTATTTTATTTTTTGAAAATAGAGAAATAATCAAAGAAAGAATAATTCATGGAAGATATTCAGTCCTGAGGGATGGTAAGGTGGCTCAGTGGGAAAAAGGCTTGCTATATGAGCATGAGGTCCAAAGTTCAGAACCCAAGTAAAAAATCAGGGCAGGCATAGTGGCTGTCTGCCATCCCAGTACTTGGGAAGCAAATTCAAGGGATGTCTGGAGCAAGCGAGCTAGTTAGACTAAATGATCAGTGAGCTCTGAATTCATTCGAGAGAACCTGCATCAATAAATAAAGTGGAAGGGGTTGAGGACATTACCTTCTGTCAATTCCTGCCTTCCCCCAGACAGGGGCACCAATGCATGTACACCCTCACATATAAGTGGGCACACACGTGATAACATACATTTACACTCACAACTCATATGCATACACATGCACAAAATGAGCCCAAGCAACATTCTAAGCCAACATAATCTCATGAAGTCTTGGGAGGAGAGCTGATATGCTATGATATATTATGTTATGATTTATTAATGTGTGTTTTCCTCTGAGAATTCTATAGAAAGAAAAATTGGACATTCTACATGTCAAATTACCCTTTGGAGAGTCATAGTGCTTCAAAAGTAGCTTAGAATTCGCACATTAATTAGAATGATTTTTCATTATGGTATACACAACATAAAATGTATTTTAAAGCATATGGTTCAACTACACTTAGTACATTAATTCTCTGGTTCCAGCTGTACAGCTTTTCAATCAAAATCTGACTGAATCTATTTCCTTGCAGGAAATGTATTCCACTTTTTAATTGGTGTGTCTAAAGGAGAATATATTCATGGAAAAGCTAATCAAATCTTCTCTTTTTAAAAGTTAGAAAAATGTTGAGAGATTAAATGCCTTTCTTGAAATTACATTGGTAGTTAAGACAGCACACATCTTAGCTGGTTTTCCTATTTCTGAGGACAGGGTATTTGATATTTCAAGAAACCTCCCCTTGTTTCCATTTCTGTTCCTGTTCAGATGATTTAATAAGCTAAGAAGTATATGCTAACATTTTTCATAGAAGAGTTTTAAGATTCAAATAAGCATCTTGGGCTGAGGATATAGCTCAGTCAATAAAATGCTTTCATGGCAACCTTGAGGGCCTGAGTTCTACCCCGAGATTCTAGGTAAGAAAGCTGGACTGGAGGCTATAATCCCGGTTCCAAGAAAATGGAATTGGGTCCTGGTCCTCACTGAAGAGCCTAAAAGGTGAGATCCAGGCCAAAAAGAGACCTTGTCTTAAGGATAGTGTTACTAAGGTGGTCCTTAGACCTCTACACATGTGTGCATGCACATCAGCAGACTCATGCCCACACACTTAAAATAGGCACCTAAGATTTAAAAGCTATACTATGCTTGCTTTATGACTTTATGGTTGCGATTTTCTTATGAGAACTTTCATTGTAATAACTCTAATCACATGATTCTCTTCTTAGGTCTATTTAAGGTCATGGCTGATAAAACTCCATACCTTACAATGGAAGAAATCACAAGAACCATTCAAATCGGACCCAGTAGACTGGGACATCCTTGCTTTTATCACCTGAAGGATATACAACTAGAGAATCTCACCATAAAGCAGGGTGAGCCAATAAGGCTCAACTCAGTGGAAGAGATTGATGGAGAAATACTGGTGAATTGTGGTGTGGTAAGGAGTCATCAGAGTCACTCATTTACATTGCCATTGTCACAAGAAGGAGAATTCTATGAGTGTGAGGATGAACATATTTATACCCTAAAAGAAATTGTTGAATGGAAGATTCCTAAGAACAGAACACGGACTGTGAAACTTACAAATTTCTCAAATAAGTGGGACTCACCCAATCCATTCCCTGAAGACTTTTATGGGACTTTGATTCTCAAGCCTGTTTATGAAATCCAAGGTGTGCTGAAATGTAAGTATACACTGATAATGATACCTGGGTGAATGAGCATTGTGTGGGTTTGTGCAGAATCCTGCAATGGATTTAGGAACTGAAGAATGGGAATCTGTCCCTGTCATTCATTGTCTCTTAGAATCTTCATCTGTGCTTAAGAAAACCACAGACAGATCTGTCTTAAGGAGCAAATGAAGTAGTGAGTATGCAGTTTATATTATAAACTGTATAATGCTGTTCAAGCCCAGGATGCTGTAACTATCAGCTATAGGTAGACTAAAATGCTAGTTCTCTTTATTATGGTTATTGAGTTAATTTTTAAAAATGAGCATCCAAAATCAGCTTTCTTGTTTTTTCCACACAGTGTCCTTGACTTCTGTTTCATGACAACTTTTTTTAAATTTCAGCCTCTTATGACTAGGCACAATTTCTTTTATCGTAGATTCTCTGACTTAAGGAAGGAGGTATGGTAAATTAATTTTCAAACTGTTGTATTTCACTATGCAATCTTCATTTTTTTATATTTTAAAGGTATCTGCATAAAGCAGTATTACTCCAAAGATATTAATACTTCAAAATTTCAAGCTTATGGTATGTAAATGAGGCAATTAGTGGATTATAGAATTCTGAGCCTGGTTCTAGCCAAGCCTGAGAGCATGCCCAATAGCCCTAGCTTCTCTGAAGACTGAGGAAGGAAGATGGCAAGTTCAGGCCTGCTTGGGTGGGTGACACAGAGAGTCCAAGACCGACCTCGTCAACTTAGCAAGACTCTGTATCAAATAATAAATAGAAAAGGAGCACAGAATACAGCTGAGGACAATTGCCTAACGTAGGTGAGACCCAAGGCTCAATAACTTTCAAAAGGGAGCTTTGAACGAGTTGTGTTTGCCCCCATAGAGTTGTTTCCAAAGTGAAATAAAGTAGTACTAAAGAACTTAAGATAATTAAGCGTGTCAAAAGATACCTCCTTAAATGTCTCAAAATTGATTTTTCTCTTCCCTCGTTGTTCTTATACACTTACAAAAAGAAATTATGTGAGTCTTTTGACAGGTTTTAGAGTTGTGAGTTAAATTCTATGATGCTAAAAGATATAATTAAAATTTGATCAATTCATTTTGATCTAAAGGTAGGAGAACAGTTTGCATGGTTTGATTTTATAAAATATTGAGACCACTGTAAATTTTAGAACTCATTGTAGTGTTCTGTTAGCAGTCCCAAAACAGGAAACTGAGATGAATGATTGAGTTTTTCTTACTGGTCATGAATAATAGATAGCATTTTCTTATTTTCAAATCAGTGAATTCTCTAAAATTATCATCTTGTACCTATCACATGCTTACAAATAAGAACAAACCCAGAACCCAAACATGTGGACAGAGGGGATAGAACTTTTAATGAATTTGGATTATGAATCAAGGGCTGATAGATGGATGAGAAGTAGTCAAATGATGCAAAGACAAATTTAAAGACCCACTGAAAAGGCAACTTGGAGAGTGGGTAAGCAAGTGAGTGGAAATTCAGCACAGCTATGTAAAAAAAAAAAAAAAGAGGGCAGACAGAGATGCAGAGATAAACATAAAAATATGAATGGCGAGTGTGTGTGTGTGTGTGTGTGTGTGTGTGTGTGTGTGTGTGTGTGTGTAACCATCCGCATAAGGTCATGAAGTCTGTCCAAAGAGAGAAACTTGAGATTTGTTCTAATCAAGAAAGATTGTTAAGCTGGGAGAGGCAGAACATAGGAGTGTAGCAATTCCATTAGGAAATTCAACTGGATTAGAGTTCTGCTCAGTGGACAGAGCAATGAGAAAGACAGGAAACACAGATGTGCTTAGTATGTGCAAGATGTACCATCTGCGGGGTCTAGAAGTCTATTGGATGAGAACTTGGTCAACTGATCAACCTTATTCTCAGCCTTTGATTTCATCTCCTGGTTGAATGGATATGCATTTATTAAATATGAACAGCATAAGAAAAGGGTTTGTTGCCGGGCGTTGGTGGCGCACGCCTTTAATCCCAGCACTCGGGAGGCAGAGGCAGGCAGATCTCTGTGAGTTCAAGGCCAGCCTGGGCTACCAGGTGAGTTCCAAGAAAGGTGCAAAGCTACACAGAGAAACCCTGTCTCAAAAAACCAAAAAAAAAAAAAAAAAAAAGAAAGAAAAAAAGAAAGAGAAAAGAAAAGAAAAGGGTTTGTTAAAAGAATTGTTTAGGTAGATTATGTTAAATAGAGTTTTCTGCTAACCAAGGAACAACCTTTGGCTAAACATCCTTCATGAAACATTTTAGCCCTGTTTCTGCTATGCATTAGAGTTAAGTTTTCAGGTTCCTTATGCTGGACCACTTTTTTGGAAATTTTTTCAATGTTACTTCTTAACTATATTGCTAGCTCAGGATGTGTACTGTGAGAAACTAGCTTGCATATATATGCAGAATATTTCATGAAAAAAAGGATGGAAGCCTGCCACAAGTGCCCCATTAAAAAAAGAAACTTTTGTGTGATAGGTGTTTTCCCCTCAATATGACAAGGAAGTGATGCTTTCACTCCAGTGTGGCTTTCTTTTGCATTTTTTTTTTGATTGAGGTTAGATACTCCTTGAACTCAAGAGACATTGTACAGTTGTTTCTGCTGTGCTTGGGCATCATTCTAAGCCCCTTAGGCTTGAGTGGTTTTTTTCCCCCAAGTTGCCGTTAAAAAAAAAAAACTGGGCTGGGAGGGTTAGGATGTTTTATAGTAACCTTAGAGGAAGATGGAAAATCATGGGACACTGAAGAGCTATGAAATACTGATTTCTTGAAAGAAAAAAAAAAGAACATGGTAAGTAACTAAAAAGAAGGAATACAAATATTTTACTCTTAAAGCTGGTCTTTAATATGTTATTAATGTGACAATTTATATCCCGGAGAAAAGTAAAACAGCAGAAACAGTGCAGTAGTTCCCAGCCTGTGGGTCACAGCCCCTTTGGCTCTCAAATGAACCTTTCACAGGGACCGCCTAAGACTATGGCAAAACACAGATGTTTACATTACGATTCATAACAGTAGCAAAATTATAGTTATGAAGTACTAATGAAAATAATTTTATGGTTGGGGGGGCTCACCACAGCATGAGGAACTGTATTAAAGGGTCAAAGCATTAGGGAGGCTGAGAACAACTGTATTAACGGGAAAAACATGTTCCTGGTTTCTGGTCAAAATTCCATTCTAGGCCTAATATCTTCCTGGCTACCAGACACACTCAGAGATTGGTCAAAGTGTCACCATGCTCTCAGGATAAGTAGCTATCCCAAATCTGTAACTATTGGTCTCATATAAATAATTTCAATATGTGTGTTTTAGTTAGGGTTTCTATTGCTGTGAAGAGACACCATGACCATGGCAACTCTTATAAAGAAAAACATTTCATTGGGGTGGCTCGCTCACACTTCAGGGGTTTAGACCATTATCTTCGTGGCAGGAAGCAAAGCAGCATGCTGGCAGACATGGTGCTGGAGGAACTGAGGGTTCTTAAATCTTGACCCACAGGCAACAGGAAGTGGGACACTGGACATGGCTTGAACATATATGAGACCTTAAAGCCCACTCCCCACAGTGACACACTTCCTCAAACAAGGCCATTCCTACTCCAAAAATGCCACACTTCTTAATAGTGTCACTCCTATGAACTTATGGAGACCAACTACATTCAAACTACCACAAAGTGTTTCTGCCTTTTAAAAAAGATATGAAATTCATGTGATTGGGCACATGGAAGTTTCAATATTTACAAATTTAAGTTGCTTTATAAAAAAAATAGAGGTCTTGAATATTGACTTTGTTAATATTATGTTTTGATGCATGGATTAATAATTAGTTACTTCTTAACTAATGAAGTTCAGCATCATACAGATCCCTTTCCTTAGTCTTTCAGAGAAAAGCTTACTGCTGCTCAAAGCTTGGGGGCCCAGTCTTCATGAAGACATCATGTTATAGAAAGACATCTACTCATGCAAGAAGCAGATGGTTAAAACCACTAAGTAAAAAGGAGACTCAGAAAGATAGCTTTGGATATTGTATTTTAGATAACTGAATAGGAGAAAAATACTCCCATTTGTAGTTTCCTAAGGCCTTAGGCATCACTATGAAATTTCCTTTCTTTCTGTCACTTAGTGTTAAAAATACTTTCAACTTTTTATAAAAAATCAAAAAGCTGAGTAATACCCAAGAAAGATATGACAAAGTTACATGGAAACCTTATGGCTTTGACAGTTCTCAAATTTCCCCTACATTCTCCTACTCTGAGGTAACTTTTGTTAGTATTTTCTTCCCTGCTTTCTGGAATTGCTTTCCCATTACCTAATAATAGGAACATTGATGGTTTTCAAGTCATGGACCATTTTAGATAGTAATGACTAACTTTCTCATACGGCCATGGGCATATATCTCCTCTTCTTATTTCCCATTTCCAAGCTCACAGTGCATGGTGTCACGTCTCAACACCAGTATTTTTGTGAATATGATTGTGGCTCAGGTAGTTTATGATGAGTATTGCTCTTTGCCTGTCCTGATGACCTTGTTGTTCTGGACTGGACTTTCTCAGTCCTTCCCTACATCTCCAACATTTCTGTTGAAAGGGAGAAAAAAGAAAAATGCAATCTCCCAGAGTGAAGATGTCAGTCGGTCTCTATTTTTCCCTTGAGGGCATTCCTTCTGGGGTCTCCCATCCTTACTCCAGCCTTAATCTGCTGCCATCGACATATTATATAGGGGCTTCCATTACAAACCATCCGGACAGTGCCTTCCTCTGCCTTGCATTTGTGTTGAATAGCTGTTTCTCTTATCAAATATGGAAATTCCCCTTTCTTTAACGTCTGCCCATCCTCTACACACAGCCTAAGATAAGTAAAGAAACTTCAGGTTTGAACATATTTTATCTCCCATGCCCACACATGTGACAGACAGGTTAGCCACTATGAAATTCTAGGTGGACAATGATTTCCTGATATCTATGCTCCTCCCTCTTCCGTGATTGCCTTTGAGAGACT